TGCTGGATGGTTTGCTGTAGCAAATAATTATCTATGATCTGGAAAGGAAAACATCAGCCATGACTGATCAAACACATAATGATATAAAAGGAGAACATTTGAACAAAAAACAAAATCAAGTGACATCAAGGATTCAAGTGAGGGTTGTTTGTCGGGTGCAACAGACTGGGGCTTGGGATATGTTTAACCGGGCCTTCAGGGGGAGTTCCACCAGGAATTTGTGCATTTTGAGGTTATGGTGCATTTGTCTGTCCTTGGCCACCGTAGCATTACCTACAACCATTATTACAGCTGTTGTAAGATCTAATGGCAGATTTTTGAAAAGGCTTGTTGTTGCCAGATTTAAATTTTGGAGTCAAAAACTCAAAATCATATCACTTTCAGACTGAACTTCATTGTCCTGGAGCAGATTGGCCCAATGGGTAGTAGAGTTATCAATCACAAAAGGGGGTTTTCAAGTTTTTGACCTCCGCATTAAATCTAGCCACAACACAAAGCTCTCAAAATATGCCAATAGATCTTACAACAGCTGTATTATAGGGGATTCTTGATCCTTTCAAACTTTGTGTAAGTGTCTCACCCTGCGCACACAGTTGGTCATATTGTACAAATTCACTGTGGTACTGTGCAAAACTCAGGCCTCATGTGGGGCTCTCAGATTTCATGAAGCACTGGATTTTCTGATAAGCTCTGGGGATATATGCAACTCCGGGGCCTGTGTGGCATATGAGTGGAGCCTCTGACTCTCAAGTCTCAACTCACGTGGTGGGCGCACCCAGCACGCCTTTTCAACTTTTTCAAAGGCGCACCTATGGTGAGGGCGCCAAGAGCGCGCCTTTTGAGTACACAAAACCAAAAAAAAATCAATAAAATAAAATGAAAGTCAAAAAAATGATAAAAAAACAATGGCAAAAGAACAAAAGAACTGTTCAAAGTGTTAGAAGGGGAACATCAATTCTTGCAGATGATGTATTACTTGAATAAAGGTCAAAGAAAGTGTTAAAAATTGGCTGAAGAGATCAACTTTGTCCCATGATTCATTGTCAGAATCATCCACTACCATGACATCTGTAGATACTTGATTAGAGTTATTGAACAAAGTGAGGTCAAACAAAGATTCTATGTACTTTGTTCCTCAATTGGAATGTCATTGAGTTCCGCCAGATCACCAAAAAGGACTCTGTCTTCAAATTCTTGAAGCTGGTCAAGGTCTTCAAACTGTACATCTCTTTTGATCTCATCTTTCAGAGCATTATCTTTTGTGCTTTTGACTGTAGATATAGGGTGTACAAATATGACTTCTGTCAAATTTCAGAGACTTTGACAGAAGGTTTTGCAGAACAACAGATACCAAAATTTTGGTGTGATCTGTTGTTCTGTTGCTCTGTCTGCCTTGATATTTGCAACCAACAACAGATCCCGCCAAATTTTGGTATCTGTCATTCTGTGAGACCTTCTGTCAAACTCTCTGAGATTTGGCAGAAGTCATATTTGTACACCCTAATAGACCACTTGAGTTTTTGGCTTGAAGATCCATTTTGATCTGAGAGATCATCTGCAATGTATCAACTTCCATGCAAAGTCCTGACGTGGTCTTTTGAAAAGACATTCCCAAAAAAAGGCCTTCAACACTGGTGGCATGAGCAATTATCTCTAATAACTTGATTGCAAACGTCTTGCTTGAGCTTGTGTGTCTGTAGATCATCAGTCACTTTCAACCAATAGTCCATTGCCAAAGATGCTGTATCCACAAAGTCAGACTCAATCAGTATTGTTGTCACTCCAAAAATATGAATTACATTTGGAGACCATCTCAAAATAGCTCTCTGAGGTGTAGTATTGTAAGATTTGCTCGATCAATTTCTTGCACTCGACTTGTTTGAACTTGACCAACAGTACTTGCTCAAAGGGCGCGCCTACCCCATATTTCAACTTTCCCGGCGCGCCCTCACGCCTACGCCCGGGTGCGCTCAAAAGGCGCGCTTTCTGCGCCACGCCCACCCCATGAGTCTCAACACTCTCAAGCTTGAATAGCCCCAAAAGGATCAGCAGGGGGTTGCTTGATGACCAGAGCAAGTGAGATATCCGAATATCACCGTCTTGCCCTGCGGCATTTAACTCAAACTTAACTCCTTTCGACTCATCAGCACATGGAAATTTCGCCCAACCCCTAGTACCGAAAACCCAATCTGGCGGAAGGTTTTGGTTAATACCTCATCCACAAAGTCTTTATCCTTTACCTTTTCCATCGCCCATATCTTCATCTACTCACGTATGTTATTCCATTCTTGGAGTTGATGTGAAATTCATCCGCAGGGCCGTCATCAGCGTTATTGTCTAGATTTACATCGCTTCGCAACATGAATGACCAGCTCTGGGAGCTTGTCGGTCGTATATAGGCTATCCCGGTTTCCAATCGAAACGCTACATAGACTTTTGATTCGTCCCAAGCGTAAACTGCTTCGAAACGATGTGTTTGTGAAGCAGTACATTTATCATAACGAGTCTCACTTACACTCGACTGTATAGAACGAGAATCCAGATTGCCTTCATCTGGATCCCGATGCTCGTTGCGGTTCTGGATTTGCCGCATACATACCTACATTTGATTTTTTATCTTGTGACTCTCGTAACTCTGTCCGCACAGCTCACGCCTGTGGGCATCGTTTCGGTTTCCTTGACTCTCTTGTCATTTGAAGTTTCTCTCTCACTTCCAGGCTATGTTTAACCGGTCTGTCATTGACTTGTCAGGTATGACGCTCTTGACTCTGTATTTCTTCAACACCGTATGACCTCTGTCATAAGACTCTATCAGACTACATTGTCTTTTCTTTTCTGAAAGTTTTCCACTTCCATTTGTGTGCCGTTCGTTTGACAAGGATCAAGTCACTACAAAACTCATTCAAAAAAGGTGGGCGCGGGCGCTGGGACCAGCACAGCATTTCTCTGCAGAAAACAATTCAAAGCTTGATTCACCATTTTCCTTCCTAATCTTCGATTGACTTACAAACATAATCTTCTTAGGCTTTGTCAAGGATCAACCATCAAATTCTTCTACATATCGCTTCACTGTGCCCACCACTCAGTTACCCGAGCGGCCATCTGACTCATCGTACTTTGGAGCCGAGTGCGCGCTGAACGGTTCCTAGGCAGTGGACTCTTCCGGCTCACTATCTAGCTCCGCTGCAGCCTCAGTCCCTTTGAACACTTGGGTGCGTCAATTCGGGTGTGTCTTGCGCGTCGTCCATTTTGCGATGCGACATCAACAAATCATCGCTAGGAATACTGACATAGTCGCTTATGTCTTCGAATAGAACCTTAGCTACAACTTTGACAATGGCCAGCGGCAATGCTGCCCATCCGCTCGCTGCTACTGATCTAAAGGGTCTTGCACATGCAAATCGTCCCAGTCAAGCACAAATTGATACAAATACCGGTCTTCCGAATCCAGATCGAAGCAGCACCAGGCCACCATCCGCATTGCCACATGTCCACCCAGGTTTCAAACCTGAAGCTGATAACTGTTATTTACCTTATATACCTCTTGCGCATACGTCCTCTTGCAGCGACGGGAGCTTCTCCCGCCCGGAGTCGACCTCCCAGCTACTTTTACCAAGTGATACTCAGCCTCATTATCTCTCCTCCATCACTCTCGTTGATCCAGCAGAGCAAGGTTTGCTCCGGGCCTCTCCCTCTGAGCAGACTTATCCACGCAAGCCTTTTCATTTACCAACCAAAATGACTTCTCAACATCATCTTTACTTTCCCTCGTCTGCTACGTCATCCATCGCTCAACACGGGAATCGCCATGATCCCCAGTATCAAACTTACCTCCAATCAGACTCTACCGGCTCCCCTGTCCAGATTCGCAATCCATCTTCTCCAAATGACTCAACTTGCGACAGTTTGGAATCCGATACGCCCCAAGCCAAAGAAATTTTCGCTATCCCAGTTTCTCCTCCCACACCCAAACCCAAGCGTCTCAGTACCTCTCGCCTCATTATCCTCGGTCTGATTGGCTGCATCTTGATTGGCGCAGCTATTGGGGTGGTTGTGTACATACACATCCGACACCTTAGATCCACCGAAAAATTCGCTGGCGATGACGGAGACGTGATTGCACGATCTGGCCTTGGTTCGGCTCGGAATGGAACCGGTTCGGATGACCCAGGCCCCTTCGATAACGGTCCTATTGGGCCGGACAATGGCCTGCGTGGTGGCATAAATGGGTACGACAGCTTGGTTGTATTCGGAGCCTCCTACTGCGACAATGCCCACGCACGTCCAGCACTATATCAAGCAAGTCTTAAACGACCTCCGTATTTCAAAGGTCTGCTTCTCTCGTGCTTAGCAATTGGTTTGAGGATACAACCAACCTGTAGTGTTTTCTGACTATTCCGTGAACTCTTAGGGCGCTGGACAGATGGCTACGTTTGGAATGAATACCTCTCTCAGATGATCGGACCAGGTGGAAGACGGACTACGCTTGTGAATTATGCATACGGTCGGTGTATTTGGTGTCGTTGAACTTGCGCCCAAATTATGTTGACTAATTGCTCTTTACTATTCGAAACAGGTAGCGCTACTGTTGACAATAGCATCAGTGCAGCTGATGTACCCGACTTCGATCAACAGATCGACGCCTTCGCGTCTGATTTGAAATCCCATTCACCTGGTGCTGGCCCTTTTGCAGGCAAGAGTATGGTGGCCGCCTGGGTTGGACTTAACAGTCTTACTAAGGTTAGTAGGACTGTTCATGTCTCAAATGAATTTATGGAGGCTGACGATGTGCGGTGTAGATTTGGAACAAGGTGCTGAAGGCTGAGATGAAGGCCCAAACGGCGGTAGAGGCTCACGACTCGATGTTGTCTGCTCAAAGTAGTATCAATGCAAGCGTTGATCAGATTTTTAATGTCGTTGGCAACCTTGCACGATCAGATGCATTCGCTGGGCCTCCTCCGGACATCCTGCTCTTACCAATCCCTCCTGGTCCACTCCTTCTTGTTAACATCCGCGCTGTGAAAGGTAACACTCGATCGCTTCAGACATTGGACAACTTGAGTCAAATGTTCAACAACCGATTTTCAAATAACTTGGCAGATTTCCAGACTAAACTTCTTCCTGATCAACGCGTTTTTACTTACGACATCCCGGCCCTATGGCAAGACTTTGTGGCAAATCCTATCAACTATGGTTTCTCGGTGGTTGACCAGCCTTGTTATGCTCATAATTCTGTATGCGCGCATCCCAATGAATACCTGTTTTGGGACACCCTCCATCCTACGACATATGTACATCACAAATTGGCGGTCTTGCTTCGAAACGTCATACGTGCATAATCTTGGATTCAACTGGTGCTTCTCGGTTGTTCGCTATCGCTCCACCAGGTCTTGCCCGCTGACTGCTTACTCAGATTGGCAGGGTGAGCTACTAGGAGACTTGATACTGTCATACAAGTACTTTTTTTCCTCTGCCCTCACATATCTGTATTCGCAACCACGCCAATGTGTATGCCACTCGCATCATATAACATTGCAGTTACTTATGAAGTTATATTTCGATATTACAGTTACTTATATTTCGTACCATAATTGTGCCCACTGAGATTCAGTCAGCCTTGTGCACTTGTACAAGATTTCATTTGTACTTTCCTTATCTACCATTAGATGATTAATAATCAACATTCCTTTTTGCATCTCACTAAACGTGACCACATCGTGCCCGAAAAGTTGTTCAAGCATACTTCCTACAACTTTGAGTCCTACAGCTTTGAGACTTACCATGTCACGCTGCATACGGAGTCAAATTTTGCGGGTCGGTACAGTAGTTTCTGGAAATCTTGTGTACATATCAGTCACATGATAGCAGGCTGGGAGACAACTCGATACCGGTCTAGTACATAATGAAGAAGAGGTATGTAATATGGGTTGGTCTTCTCCATAAACATGCCCGACGCTAACCTACTACCAAACATTTGCCCGTCGAGTTGAACTGTAATTTGTCCTATTTCGCCTGTTTTATAATTTATGTGGCCATTCTGAACTTTGGTGAAGAAATAGTGAGGTGAGGTCCTTGTGGGACCAGAACTGCGATTGATTCGACGCAGCAAATGTGGTGAATGAAAGAATTACTTGTGTATCTTGAAAGGATAAGTAGAGTGACTATATAAAAACAAATTCCCAAATGACCCAATACCCAAGCGAAACATCAAATAAGATAAAGTGGTTCTACATGAGTGTTGATCTGACCAGGAGTGAAATAGTTGAAACGCGCATTTCATACCATCAAGATATGTACAACGCACAAAGCCAACGAAATAAAAGGTGAGAAGAGAAATATGCCAAGAAAGAAAAACCAGAGAAACTGTTAGACAAGAAATCATAATTGCTCAATCTTCTCCTCGCTTTTCCCATCTACAGTCATCAATTCTTGGCTGTTTCCAGCTTCGCCATTCCCAAAAGCTACATTGGTTGCTTCTGCTGTTAAAAGTTTTCGGCGGTATGAGTCTGACCCAAGGATGGAACTGTTTTGGTATAAGTCGTCGACCTGCTCGAGTGATAATCCCTTCGTCTCAGGAATACTGCAAAGGAGCCAAAGTACGGAATCTGATTTAGTGCGGAACATCTCTCAAGAACCCCTACCATGAGGGGTACTTGAACACTAGGAAAACAATGTCATTCGTTGAAGAAGAGATCACATTGTACGCACCAGAAAAAGGTGAACACGAAGCACAGTGAGCAAAGACCACCCCATATGAAAAATACATTAGAGCCTAGCCCTGCTTTACCGGGTCCAGAGTCAACAAGATACGGGGTTGAGAATCCGATGGCAAAATTTCTTGAGGAAGTCGAAAATGACAAGTTTGATGCGCAGCAAACATAATCAGCGTAGGAAAATGATGAAACAATGATAAAGAAGGCTCACAAAGCCCAATTCGAAGCTGTTGAAAGCGACATGGCTTTCGCCCTGATAGCCAATGGATAAATTTCACTTGTCACTACCCTGAAGAAGTTTGAAGGTCTGAGTTAGTTTTGCTCCTCTATCGCTATAGAATATGGAAATACTGACCAGGGGATCGGTCCCTAAGGCCGTCCAATGCGTATATCGGGAGGAGTGAAGAAAAACATTCAATACTATCGATATCGCACCACTCAGGATATGCTAGCGACTCACCCAACTGGCAGCAAATGCCCCAAGGTAAATACAAACGAATGCAATCAAGGAATGTTGACCAGCAGGGTTGTCACCAGAGACTACTATTCCGAGAATTGCAACCACAAACTCGCAAGAAGCCATCAGCGCCTACGTACGTACGATGTGCGAGTCAGCATCAAGTCGACGAGCTTTGCATCTCCAATTTCTGAGGGAAATGATTACTGAACTCCTCCCATCAAAAGTGACATTCTCCGCCCAGACTTGTCGACAGCCCAGATTCCCGGAATAGTCATCACCACATTGACCTAGGAAGATCAAAGGGCGAGACGATAACAAGCCACACCCGGTGAAATGTTTTGTGAGTCCCAGTGCTTTCAATGTTCAGATATAATTGTTGAGAAACAAAATTGACATACCACATTAGTGATGACATTTATAGTGAACGGATCATTGACCCCACTTTTCTTGAAAAAGCTGTGATCATCAAAGCAACTTGTTCACAAACTATCCGAGATTATATTGAAGTGGAATTTGAACTCAACGAAGTACCATAATAGAAAATGAAGTTGACACTAAATTATATTGAGAAGAAAGTGAGATTGATGAATCAGTGTGATGTTTCCTTTTCAAGAATTGAGCTAGCTGACGTGAAAACTTGATAGAGAAAAGACGACAAACCCAGATAGCTGTTGAAGAGCCTGAACACCCATTCCGGTGAGGGTTCGGAGGCGGTACCTGCCTTTTCCTGACTTGAAGCAATCTGCATAGGAGCCAGCCCCGATCGTGCGTTCAAGCACGAGCGAATCGTTTACCTCGTCGTATTCTCTCGCCACTTGCTCCGAATCAGCTGGCAGTGATAACAAACGTCCAAGAGCCAGCCGCGCCTCGGACTCCCGACCTTTGAGGATAAGATACTTGGGGGATTCTGGAAGAATGAACATTCCAAGTGAGAGTATGGTGGCCCAGATGAACTATTGGTCCAAGTGTCACGGAGGATATGGTTTCCAGCTACTTGAGTTTTGCAGTCCTTGGATTGATTCGAAAAGAGCGCAAAGATGGAACTGACCTCCAAGCCAATCGGAATTCGATAACAGCTAGCATCAGGGCGAAGCTTGGTCACATTGACTACCACAGCTGCAATAAGCAATCCAATGGTAATTGCCCATTGCTGATAGGTTCAAAGGTGATGACCGAAAAAGTATAAGCTTCGTAATTTGGAAAGAATGAAACCTCACTGGTAAGGGAGGCACCATGGAGATTTGACTCACATAACATGCCACAACGGCACCCCTGATCCATTTTCTGTCTCATAGAATTAGACGATCCGAGGAGCGAGTCAGTCTGACTATGCTTGGTTTTCTTGACATGATAAAAAATACACGAACGGTGCACATTCCGATTGATACATTGGAACTAGGCAGGAAGTCGATCCGACTCCCAACCCGGCAAAGACTCTACCGACAGCGAACATGGGAATGCTTGACGAAGCTGCTTGAAGTGCCACCCCAATCGAAAACACACCGCATGATACGATCACACCCCATCTTCGGCCAACTATCGTTGATAGGGATCAAACGTAAAGGGTGTACAAGAGAAGTTGTGTGGAATCAATAATCACTACCCTCGAGAGTAACAGTCAGGAAAGCTTACGTAAGTCGCCGACCGGGGAAGCCAACAAGGCTCCAAAGAATGTTCCGACAGACAAAATCGAAGTGACCAATGAGTTGTTAACGGTTGACAGCTGAAAAGGGGTATATGAGCGTTCAGTGAGATGGAATTTGTCAGGGAAAGTGATGATTGGAAAAAGGTTGCAAACAATATATTTCCCGGAACCGTCTGGCTCTCCAAACTTTTGGAGCCTGTGTTGACACAAAAGTTGATTTAACGCAATTGGTGTCGAAGCGGAGAGAAATACATCATATGCCCCATTTGCATTACATGATATCATAGGAATAAAACTGCGTCAGTTGTCACCCTTTCATGTATGTAGGTTGAAGCCCAGTGTCAGGCTTCACAGCGCGAGATAATACTGACCAGTAGGGCATTTCCTTAGTCCCCGAGATATATCCCTACAAGTGCTTTGAAGGTGATTAGAATGCATCGTCTAGAGAACGACTATGCCTGACCCCAGGTTATCCCAGGGTGAACCCAGTAGAAAAATCAAATCTTACCGTGTCATACCCGTACAGATAACTGGTGTAGTTTGATCGCAGGGAGAAAAAATGCCACAAACGGAGCGCAATTTTGTTTCAATTTTTCAATAGATATTGATGTAAGGGAATGTAAAAGTCATTTCATCGGAAAAGTTTAGTCAGCAAACATTGATCTCCGTCATAGAGCATCATTATCAAAAACTCATCAAAAATAGATGTGTAGAAGTTACTAACCCTCCGAATGCAGCAAAAAGCGCCATGGCGATCCCTACAAGTTTTGCCCGGGTTGAAGCAGGGGGTAGGACTGCACCAGCATTTCCTGAAATGTTTTTAGACATCGCAATGGAAAGGATTGAATTATCCCCTTCTGTTATCGGTAGTATGAGCTATGAAGGTCTGAATGACGACTTTTTGGATTATCAATGATTAGAGTGAAGCAAAATGATGAAGAAATGTATGTATAAGTATGCTATTGACGAAAGAGACGAAAGTGGATACCATGGGGGGACAGGGATCTCAGAGGAGTAGGCTAATGAAGGGGTACAAGTTTTCCAAGGCCGCGTTCGGAAGGCACTCGGAAGCAGTGAAACACACTCCAACCCGTTTACAATATGTCTATAGCTTAGCACACCCGACTGCAACCCATTTTTGGGTGTTAGGAGAAGCCTAAAAGTGCAAAGAGCCGGGCAACGTCTCACATACAGGTGTCTATATATTGAGAAGTGCGGAGGTCCTCCGCTAACTCAACGTTAAGAATGTTGGTTACAGCAACTTGCGCGATGTGGCATGGTCGGAAATGGATGGGATCGTGATCGAGGTACAGATTTCCAGTTCGGTGATCGCACTATGATACCCCCACAAAGAAGCGCGACACAGGAGATCGCTGTATAACGTCATTCCCAGACCATGGAGCTCGCCCACTCGACCCAAAGTGGAATATTTCGAAACCGAGCATCTGAAATTTTGCATCCATATCCTTGGTTTTTGTTCGATCTCTGTTCAAACACCTGGATTAGTATGGTGTATCCATTCATTGTCAAAGACATAAAGCGCTCACGGAGAACGAAGAGGGCTATGAAGGACGCTAGTCGGAGAGGCGAAAACTGTACTTTACTATAATCGGACGCGATAAACGAGGTCATCGAATTCCAATCATTTGGGTGCACCAGAAAAGGCAAACTTGTCACAGGTTCCCCTATGTAGGAGCTGTTGGTCAAGATGTATGTGGCGGAGCTGATGGGGGTGTTACCGGCAAGACCAGTCTTCCTAATGCGAGGCAAGGCTGATTTATCATGTCTACATAAATAATTTTCCACACATTCTTATCATCGATGACGTTTACTGAGCAAGCGATTGGTGATACCAGCAGCCTCCTTGCCCGATTTTTGAACCTAAGCTGGACCAAGGTTGTCCCTGAATGCAAGCGGTAAGCCTCAGCACGTTCGATTTGTCACTCTGCCTTGATTTGCCAACAGGAAAGTGGGCTACAGTCTTAGTCAGTAGCGCCCAATCCTCTCTTGAAATACTTTGAGGACACCAAAATTGCAAAACGTTTCGATCCCTGTTGTGTCGCCTCGCTCGCTTGGCTTGTCCTTCTTTAGATATGGTACATGTAGCGATACATTGCGCACTCGATGATCCAAGATGATGGGATGCGATATGAGGAAATTGTAAAGATGTTGCTTGGATATATTTACATACACTACGGTCCAAAAGCGATGTAATGGATACATAATTTCACAGTCTGTCTCAAGGATTCCGTTTTGAGATCTTGAAAACGTACATAGTAAATAGGATCCCAGCTACAAAACATCGACATGAACGGTATCTTTCAGGTATATATTTTTTACATCACAAAATTGGTGTATCAGACGACTCGCTAGGTTGCAAAACTGTGTGGATCATCGGGAGGAAAGGCAGATCGAGAGAATTTTAACCCGATGGGGGTGCATTTTTACAAAAAACTCATTGCCTCACGTTGGCACTTTCTTATTATCCACATTTCAGGGATTGGGAACTTGGCAAGGAAGTTGAAATGAATAAAACAGTACTTTCAAGTTTACACTTTTCAGTTCAGTTGTGAGTACAAATAACAGAGACATTGGGAGATACTGTAATCCTTTTGGGAGACAATGATGGGATAAAAACTACATCGTATACGAGTGATATTAGGGAGTGGACCAAAAAACAGACAACGATGAGATGGATGAATCTGGCGATTACAATGAGGTTATGATTTCCATCGATTTGAGCCGATTCAAATCAAGGAAATGTAAAGAAAGATTTAAATAGGAGATAGAGCCTCGGATATGAATGGATTTGGTAGCCATTGAAGGGTAGAGAGTGGTAGAGATCGAAGATATCAAAAGGAAAACCAACCCCAAAATATTTCGATAAGAAACTGTTTGATCGAAGCGTTATGAAACTAATAAAACGAGTCATTGGAAGAACGGATGTAGAGGAGATGAAGACCAATGAATAACAAGGTCGATGGGTCACAAAAAACGAAAAAACACTGATATGAAACTGATAAAATGATTGATGACAACAAAGAAAAAAGAGAGGAAAACATCGAGTCGAGTGAAAAGCAGGCCAAGATCTGAAGGTCAGTTGTTTTTCGTGACTTTGATTTATGCAACTCATGAGCTTACCACATATTTGGACTTGAGGACCGACCAAAGCCTGGCTTGTAACAGGGCTTTGGCCCCAGCTGGTCACTTTAAGCTGAGGTCCTCTTCTATGAAAACAAAAGTTATATACGAGCTATGTCTTGGGTATATAGATGGGCACATCTATGTTCTGATGATATATTGGACTGCTAGAATAAATGTATCTTCTGTTTATATTTCGAGTACATCAGCTTTACATGCATTCTTCATTATGAAGATGTGTTTCGTGCAAACTTATCAAGTTTATGTTTTGAGTACATACCATATTTGGAACTGGGAGATGTCCTGAAATGTAATGGAGATGTCGTGACTATGGTCGTTTTGAGTACAAAAGGGCCCTTAAAGTTTGGACCGTAGTGTATGGTATGGTAAGTACCCTGACGTGATGACCTCACTTGGCCCCTTGGGCTCTCAGAAGGCACGCTCCGAAAATCCTAACAGATACCTTGACAGGTCTGGCACACCGGTGGTCTGGCATGTACCACGGATGCATCTGAATGATCTTCCTAACGTCAGGATCAACTAATGATCCTCTTGGCTAGTAAGTTGTAACAGCAGCGTTCCAGGTTTTATGCCTAGTCTACAGTCACTACTTCTGTACCGGGTGAAACAAGATTTCCAACGGATTGTGACGTCAAAAGTCGAGAGAGTCGAAACAGATGAGTTCTAAATATCATAGATTTCTAGAAACTTGACTCTTCCAATATGGCTTTACAGACTGTAAAATCACAGTGGCCAAGCTATGTAGCATTTCTCATATTGCCATAATAGCGGTGTACAAACCTACGACCCAACACAAAAACCCATGTGAAAAACCCATGAAAACCCAACTTTTTTTTGGGTTTTCCTGACAGGTTTTTTTGATGGGTTGCCCTGGAAAGGTTTGAACGCCCCAACCCCCATCACATCCTAAAACATGCCTAGAGTATCAGGCGGCAGGCGGCTCCCGTCATCTCTTGATCACACCTTGAGTTTACTTCACACTCCTCCTCTTCCATCCACCTCAACCATGACTTCAACCCCTCCCCCAACTCCCAATTTAATTGCTTGTTTGACAATAGCATGCTTTGGTTTCTTTAATCAAAATGATATCGTAGTTTTAAAAGCTTTGCTGGAGGTCTTAGAAGTCAATTTAGACAAGTCTTTTTGAAATAAAACAATATTGTTTGAATTCTTTGAACCAAACCAAAGACCAATGAAAGCTTTTTAATCTTTGAGATTGTTCTAAATCTACATACATCAGATAGACAAGCAGCATATAACTGATAGAATGAGATCCCGCTGCATTTGTGCCGATCAAAATTGTAGAGTTTTGAACAGAGAATGAAAGAGACGGAGTTGGTGAGGGTGTGTGGCTGTCTTGTGGAAGGATTTGAACGTGTTGTGTTGGGAAGGAAAGGTTAGTTGAGTTTGATATGGAGTCATGGACTTGACTATTTTTTTCAACAAACGGGTGATCAGATTTAGTCAATTTCAACCCATTTGAAAAAACCCGTAAAAAAAACCCAAAATAAGTTGGGTTTTCATGGGGTTTTTTGATGGGTTTTCATGTTGGGTTGTAGGTTTGTACACCACTAATATACATACTTGGAGGAAATAATAGCCACATTGAAGTATGGGATATTCACGCTAAAATTTGGAATTTGAGACACAAACCTATAACCTGTGGTTTGGTGTTGCTCAAGTGTGGTCACACCGCGCAAATTATTAAGTGTGAAACCCAATTGAGCAAATTTGTGGTGACCAGGTCTGCAACTTTCTTCAATTGCAGATCTTGTTAGCCATAGGCTTGCTAGCTTGCCTCAAGCTGCCCTTGTGTTGTTCACTTGAGCTGAGTATGTCAACTTCAGGTATGTATGTACCTCAGTCCACCTCATAACACTATCAGTATGCCCAAGAAAGCACAGACTAGTTGCCATTAAAGGGGTCAATCAACAACTGCCTCATCAAACACCAAATCAGGTGTTGAATCCAATAATCTCCAAAAGAAAAAAGAATCCAAGTAAAAACTAACTTCATACCAAAAAGGAAATTGCGACTCACATTCCAAAAATTCTTGCGTCAAAGGGAAGGCTATACCAAATCAGCATGACCTTGCAACTGTGGACAAAAGTAAGATCAAACAGCTCACTGTGAGTATGTTGCTATAGGGCAGCTTGAGGCGAGCTAGCAAACCTATAGCAAACCTATGGCAAACAAAATTGATGATTGAAGAAAGTCAGGGACCCAGTCACTGCAACTCTGCTCAATCGGGTTTCACACTTAATGATTCCCGCAGTGTCAGAGCCATACATATTGTCAGTTTGGGTCCGCTGATGAGTGAGTATTGATGAAACTTACCATGACACTTGGCTATCTCAAATTGATAGATTTCAATGCAGTCCATCTATACCTACAGCCCAGCATATCTGACCCTAAAAACATCTGGGGTCCTCACCTTACCTCACTGCTGGCATATTTGGCTCGGAGACAAACATCCGAGGAGTCCTCGGACGGCGCCCCCAAGGAAAAGGGCACCCAAGGGCTAATTCCGAGGCAAATGTTGGCCCTGGCTGTTGCCTCCGATTGGATCCTTGGATGGGGGTTAACTCGGAGTCAGAATCCGAGGAATCCTCGGATTTTTGGCTCCGAGCCAAATATGCTGGCTGTGCCTCTGTAAGATGACACCA